AGAGAGAGAGAGAGAGAGAGAGAGAGAGAGAGAGAAGAGGGAGGGAGGGTGTGTCATTTCCTTAATGCTGAGCTGGGAGAAAGCTCTGGCTGCAAAGTTTGCTCTTAACCATCTCTCACTGCCTCCAGGTAAGCAGCAAGTTGGCACAATGGTGGGACTGGGAGCCTGCACCCTGACCGGAGCTGCCTTGATCCTCTTGCTACTCCCTAAAAGTAAGTGGGGGCTATGGAGGAGTATTAAAAGGGAGGTACAGGTGGCCATGATGCTGTGTGCCAGACTCTGGGAGTATGGTCTCTACATCACAGAACTTAGAAGCAGCAGATCAGTCACGATTCTAATTACAAAGGGATGGAAGAGCTCCAGGATACAGTCTGGCTCACCAAGATACGCACATGCTAACGTGGTGAGAGAGGGTCAGAAGAGAACCATGAAGAGGGAAACAACAGGAGCAAAGATCCACAGATACGAGGTTTCCTGTTGTTTCTTCAGGAAGAGACCCAATGTCTGGGAACAGAAGCCATAGTCTGAGCTGAAACAGTGAGATTGAGGCCAGGGGCTATGTAAAGTGTGTGGAACTTTGTCCTAACCTTGACTGAGGGTAATGACCGGCCACCTATGGTTCTGCACAATTATGTCAGGACGTCTGATCCTCTCAGCTGTGCGGTGGTGGTGCATGCCTTTAATCCCAGCACCCAGGAGGCTAAGGCAAGTGGATCTCCATGAGTTCAAGGCCAGTCTGGTCTACAGAGTGAGTTCCAGGACAGCAGGGTTACACAGTGAAACCCTGTTTCAAAAAAAAAAAAATCTCCCAGGGACACAAAAGTAGTGCTAGATAAGGAAGGAAAACAAGCCTGATGCTGACTCCCCATAGACAGGCATTGAGACTTACTGCCAGTAATTAGGTCCTTAATAATGCCAGCCACCCAGCCACAGGAGGCTGGGATATGGTGGAGTTCCAACAGCAGCCCACAGAACAGAGGAAATTCTTTTAGAATGGAGGGGTCTCTGACTAAAGCAGATTAGTGGTAGTGCTGACTAGGATATAAGGCTATAAAGTAGGAAGCTAACCCTAGTCTCATCCTACCTGATGGCTGTCACATGCCACGATCTTGGCAGCTTTGGGAAGGGACTGGATGGATGTAAGGCATGACTGATGCACCCTGCAGGGACAGCTCTGAGATCTAACTGGTAGCAACTGCTTTTTATCTCCATTCACAGACAAAAGTAGTAAGACACAGGGAGTCCCACTTACATGTACTAGGGTCACTAATAATAAGTAGGACACGCTGTCTAGCCCTTGTGTCTAAGCTCATCAACCCGTGAGCTTAGCCACATGTGCTTGAAGTGTCACAATCAAGATGGGCTCTTACAATCAGATCTGAACTTGGCAAGGATTGCTGTGGCCTTAGGGGGTTCTTATCACTCTGATTGTGGCTTTTGCTGCCCAGTCCCTCCCTAGTGAGGAATTGGAGTTGTCTAAGACTGCATTCATAACTGCATTCAGGGAAGGCAAATGTTCACACAGAGGGGAGCACATATATCATGGGGAAGGTGTTTACGTCACAGGAAGTGTTTATACCCCAGGGCATGTTCACATCATAGAAAGCATTCACAGCATGGGACACATTCACAAGATAGGAAGTGTTCATAGCCCAGGGTGTAGTCACACAATAGGAAGGGTTTATACTTCTGGGAGTGTTCACACCTCAGGGGGCGTTCACACTGTAAAGAGGGTTCACACCAAGGGAAGTGACCAACACAAAGCAGGATCTGCTTTTCTCTGCAGAGCCCGTCGGTAACCATTTACAGACACATGGCTGTCTATCTCTCCCTATAATGCATCTTGCAGGCCCCATACTTACTCTTCACGTTTAGTCCCCATGTCCTTCCAGACGGGACAGTGAAAAGGCAAAAGAGGCCTCTGAGGTTAGGAGCTCACAGGTCTTCACATGGCCCATGTTGGCCTGGCAGAGGAGTCCTCCAAGGCCCACCCTCTACCAATCCAGGTCTGGAGAGCTGTGGGCACATCAGGATCTCAGTCCCCGTTGTCCGCCTGGGGGACCCCGTCATAGCCTCCTGTACCATCAGCCCAAACTGCAGCAAACTAGACCAAGAGTCACAGATCCTATGGAGACTGCAAGATGGACCAAACCAGCCTGGAGACAGACAGCGGCGTCTTCCTGATGGGAGCCAGGAATCCACAATCACTCTGCCTCATGTGAATCACACCAAGGCCTTTCTCTCCTGCTTAGTGCCTTGGGCCAACAGCTTCCAGGTCCTGGATCAAGCTGAGCTTCAAGCAGGCTGTAAGTCCCTCCCACCATCCACCCATCTGCTTCCAATGCCCCTCTGCCTGAACCAGGGAAAGCAATAACCTCTTTGTGAGCAGGACAGAGGGTGTGGTTCTTCCTATCAGGTGTTATTATTTAACCCATTCTCCAGATTAGGAAACTGACATCTAGAGAGGAAAAGGAAAAGGAACTCCACAGTGTTCCTTGTAGAAATGCTTCTCTGCATGAAGCTCGGGTCCTTAAGAGGAGCTCCCTTCCAGCTGCTCCTAAGCCCAGTCTCAGTTTTCTTTCCAAATTCAACAGGATGGAGTTTGTGTCAAGACGAGGTATAAGGAGCAAATAAGAACAAAGGCATAATGGCACATTTATAATCCCTGCAGAGGAAGGTGGATCTCTGTGATTTTTTTTTTTTTGAGACAGGGTTTCTCTGTGTAGCTCTGGATGTCCTGGAACTCATTCTGTAGACCAGGCTGGCCTCGAACTCACAGAGATCCACCTGCCTCTGCTTTCCAGGACCTTGGTGATGTTGAGGACAGCTAGATCTACATAGAGAGTTCCAGGGCCACTAGGGCTACAAAGTGAGACCCTGTCCATCCCATCCCCCCAAAAGAAATTAGTACTAGGGCTGGGGATGTAGCCCCATAGTCGAACACATATTTAACTTAAGCAAGGCCCTGGGTTCCAATCCTAGCACCACACCAATCAATAACAGAGCCAGGCCTGGACGCACACTTCTGGGATCCTAGTACTTAGAAGCTGAGACAGGAGGATGTCGAATTAGAAACTAGCCTGGATTGTGTCATCAGACTTGTCTCCAAAAGAAAAGAAAGCAGCAGTCACTGCAGCTTCTGCCTGCATACGCATAGTTGTGAGTGCCCTATATAGAAGTCATTTGGCCCTCATTTGAGTTACTTTTCCATCACTGTGCTAAAACACCATGACTTATAAGAGAAAGCATTTAACTGGGCTTATAGTTTCAGAGGGTTAGAGTCCAGGATAGTGGAGCAAAAGCATAGTGGCAGAAACTGCTGAGCGTTTACATCTTGAAGAGCAAGCAGGAGACAGAGAGGACTAACTGGAAAAGGGAAAGATCTTTTGAAACCTCAAAGCCCACCCTCAGTAACACACCTTCTCCAACAAGCCTTCCAAAACCATTCCACCAACCAGAACTAAGTATTCAAACATGTGCGTTTGGGGGGACCATTTTCAATCAAACCACCAATGACCCTGAAAGAAACCTGGGAGGGAAGTTGATTACTGTCACCCAAGAAAACTGAGGCACAGGAGCAGTTCAGTCACGTGAGGATCAAATTGTTCATGATTGACCAAACCAGAATGAAACCTGGGATATCTCTGACAAAGGTGCCACCAGGCTGCCGAGGGTCTGGGAGGCTTACCCCTGTGCCTGACAGTAACGGAGCTGCCCTTACAGGCCCACACTGCAGAAGGAATAGTTCAGTCCAAGGAAGTAAAGACATAGGTGCACACCCCCCACCCAGGAAGACTCCTAACATTCTTCCCACCCAATCCAGATCCTCCTGCCAGTCCCTCCAACCTGTCCTGCCTCATGTACCTCACCACCAACAGCCTGGTCTGCCAGTGGGAGCCAGGCCCCGAGACCTACCTGCCCACCAACTTCACCCTAAAGAGCTTCAGGTACACAGGGTTTCCATGTCGGCCCCTTTCTCCAGATCCTGGGTTAGGGCACAACTCATTGTGGGCAAAGACAAGAGGGGAGTGTCTCGCCTTCTTCCTCTGCTTGATACCAAAGCCCAGCCTCTTGGCAGGAGCCGCGATGACTGTCAGTACCAGAAGGACTCCATCTTGGACTGTGTGCCTGAGGACGGGCAGAACACCTGCTCCATCGCCCGCAAGCACTTGATCCTGTACCAGAATATGGTCATCTGGGTGCAAGCAAAGAACATGCTGGGGACCAGTGAGTCCCCAAAGCTGTGCCTTGACCCCATGGATGTTGGTGAGTGATACTGGGTGTGAGAAACAGGAGAAGCCACCAAATTGGGAGACCCAGAGGAGCACAGGGAGGAAACACTGACCTAGACATAGACAGAGAGATTTTGGGAGACGTGGAGAGAGGCAGAGAAGAGAGAAATAGGGACCAGAGACTAGGTTTATTCTTTCATCTTATTTATTTATCTGTTCACTGATTTTTCAAAACAAGGTTTCTCTGGGTAGCCCCAGCTGTCCTGGAACTTTCTCTGTAGACCAGGCTGGCCCAAAATGTGCCAAACCACCACTTGAGTCATTGTATTTATTTACTTATTTATAGGGGCAGTGCACATCATGGGGCACATATGGAGGGCAGAGGAACTTTCTAGAATTGTTCTCTCCTTCTACCTTGAAGACAGGGTCTCTCTTGTCTCTGATGCTGCCCTTGTGCTCCAGGCAATATGGCCTGGGGGCTTTTCTCCTGTCTTCACCTCCCAGTTTGCCATGATGGTGCTGGTATTACAGATAGTTGCCATTGCTCTGGGCTTTTTTTTTTTTTCTTGTATACAACATTCTTCTTCCATGTATATCTGCACACCAGAAGAGAGCACCAGATCTCATAATGGATGGTTGTGCGCCACCATGGGGTTGCTGGGAATTGAACTCAGGACCTCTGGAAGAGCAGCTGGCGCTCTTAACCTCTGAGCCATCTCTCCAGCCCCCGAGCTGGGCTTTTTGACACGGATATTGGGACTGAACTCGAACTTGAGTTGAATCAGGCTTGGCCTTCAGCTCATTTCTTCATACCTCCCCCACACACACCCCTACTAGTCTGTGGTGGTCCTAAAGATGAGCAATCTTCAGAAGACCTACCCTCAGAATAGTGCAACAACTCAGATGGCAAACTAAATAAAATCAGATGTCTGATGGACTTTAGAAGTTGACAACTGAGTAGACCCTTGGAGGAACTGAGGGAACAAGCTGCTGGATATCTGGAAAGAAAATGCTGTAAGCAGATGTGGCAACCAGTTCAAAGTCCCTGAGGCAGGATTTCACCTAATAAGAAACACAGATACTCATACCCAAACACACACACACACACACACACAGAGAGAGAGAGAGAGAGAGAGAGAGAGAGAGAGAGAGAGAGAGAGAGAAAGACTGAAAGTGACCCAGGAAAGAAAGGGGTGATAAGACATAGCTTTCCCTATGTGGTGGGGGAAAGTTTGACAATCCTGCCTCTTGCAGTGAAATTGGAGCCTCCAGTGCTGCAGGCCGTGGACATTAGCCCTGATCTAATCCCATACCAGCCCGGGTGCCTGTGGCTGAGCTGGAAGCCATGGAAACCCGGTGAATACATAGAGCAGGAGTGTGAACTCCGCTACCGGCCACAGCTTAGAAGAGCCAATTGGACACTGGTGAGACAGAGGACAACCTCGAGACAGAGATGGGGAATTGAGAGAGGGCAAGTTGGATTTAGTGTCCCTTCCCACACACCAGGTGTCCCACCTGCCTTCCAGTGAGGACCAGTTCAAGCTCTGCGGTCTCCATCAGGCCCCAGTATACACCCTGCAGATTCGATGCATCCGCTCGCCTCTGCCGGGACTCTGGAGCAGTTGGAGCCCTGGCCTGCATCTGAGGCCCACCATGAAGGGTGAGAAACCAGGAGCAGCCATCAGAGCCTAGTCCAGTCCCCCAGGTCCTCCCCAACAAAACCCTCTCATCTCACCCCATCTACAGCCCCCACCATCAGACTGGACACATGGTGGCAGAAGAAGCAACTGGATCCTTGGACAGAGAGTGTGCAACTGTTCTGGAAGGTGACTCTCTAAGACCCCCCTCCTACCCCAACAGAGCCCCAAAGTAGGGCTTAAGACTGCAGTGTGCCTGGAAGGCTGGGAGACATTTCACACATGCCTCAGAAGCTAGGTAGTGGCCTTGGGGAGAGACTGCAATGCAGGGCTCTGGGGGCACCTGTGCCCCCAAAGGTTCCTGTCAGAGAATAGTTAAGCACCTGCTGCATGTACTGACAGGCTTCTTCCTTCCTTCCCTCCTAGAGCTTGCCAGAGGGGAGTAGAGGGAGGGGGAGAAGAGATCTAGAGTCCAGTTCCTATGGCTGGCCCATGCACCCCAGGTCCTGACCAATTCATAATTGAGCTAGACAACTCTCTCACCATGTTCTTCCTCACCCACCACAGCCAACACCCCTACAGGAAGACAGCGGAGAGATCCAGGGGTACCTGCTCTCTTGGAGTCCCTCAGATCAGCAAGGGCCAGTCAGGCACCTCTGCAACACCACAGAGCTCAGCTGTATCTTCTATCTGCCCTCGGAGGCCCAGAATGTGAACCTTATGGCCTACAACACCGGGGGGACCTCTCTACCTACTCCAGTGGTTTTCTTGGAGAATAAAGGTAGAGGGGGCTGGCAGCTGAACAGCACAGAGCAGCATGGGAATTTGAAGGCTGGAGCGCCTAGGCTCCTACCTGTCCAGTCTCACCACTTGCTAATAGAGTGACCGGGACAGGTGACTTCCCTCCCTGGCCCCTGTTGTCCCCAGAACCTGCAAGGATGTACTAACATTGCCTCTTGGGGGCAGCCAACTTTAAGCCAACTTGTAAATTATTGTTGGCCAGAATTAGATTAATCTGGGAGAATATGCATACATGCCTATGAGCATGTGTGTGCGGGCACACACACACACAGCTAAGATTCCCATTTATAAGTTGTATGTGTACATACGCATATAGCAGCAGGCAGACAACCTCAGTTGTCACTCTTCAGGTGCTGTCCACTTTTTTTGGAGGCAGGATATCCCTGAAATTCACTGATTAGAAACTATTCTCTGGTGGCCAGTTAGCCCCAGGGATCTACCTGTCTCTACCTTCCCAGTGCCTGTTTTATTTGTTGTTATTGTTTCCACATGGATTCTGGGAATCAAATTCAGGTCTTTGTGCTTGCCTTACAAGCACTTGACCAATTAAATTATCTCCCCTGCCCTGAGCTGATCTTTAATAAGCCTCTCTGTATCGCCCATTTTTGATAAAATGATTGATAAATCATTGATAAAATGGAGACAACCGTAGTACCTCCCTGCTGTGACTGTTAGAGAATTCAGTGAATCACATACATCAAGCTGAGTGCCAGGAAGTATCATGGGCCAGGCTCTGTACTAGGCTTGTTTGGTACACCCTCCCTCAACACACACCAAAGCCTCTACAAGGTGGGAATTTTCTGTTGTCACTTGACAGATGAGGTTGAGGCCCAGGTATTGCTACACCCTGGATCACAGGTCTCACCAGAAAAGGCAGGATTTGAGTCCAAGTCTCTAGGACTGCGTCCTGTGTACTTTTCATCTTCACTCCTATCCCCACTTCCTCTCCAGGTCCAGCGGTGTCCAGACTCCATGCCATGGCCCAAGACCCAGATAGCATCTGGGTAGACTGGGAAGTACCCAGCACTATGCCTCAGGGCTATCTGATTGAATGGTGCCAGAGGTCACTCAGTCACAATTACAGCAGTAAGACCTGGAGGATGGAGCCTGATGGGAGCATCACTGGAATTCTGCTACAGGGTGAGATGGGCCTGGGAGGGGGGACAGGTGGAGGGACAAGAATGGGGAGAGGGGGTGGTGCTTGTCCAGAGGTACAAGGGCAGTTGAGACCCCCATATAGCAGCAGCCTCCCCAGGCTTTTCTGAACCCTTACCTTGGGGAAGTTCTTCCTGTACTCTAGCCAGATGCCCTCTTTGTGTCACCCACACTCTGCTCCTATTCCAGTTGTCTGTTCCACTCTTCCTTCGTGACATCATCAAATGAACTACAAGAGATTTCTACCATTATCCCCATAGTCAGAATCAGGCCATGCAGGAAGCAAATTCTGAGGCTGGGTGGCAGAGGATAGCCCTGACCTTATTGTCATCCCATCTTCTCTCTGCAGAAAACATAAGTCCCTTCGAGCTCTACGAAATCATGGTGGCCCCGCTGTACCCAGGCATAGTGGGACCCCCTGTAAAAGTCTACGCCTACTCTGGAGAGAGAGGTTTGTCTTGCATCAGAATCCTCTCCTCTCTCTCCCTGGATGGGCCCTAGGAACTGGGGCTGTCAGGGGTGGAGCGGGTGGGGGGGGGGGGGGGGGGGGGGGGGGGGCAATGCTGGACAGAATTCAGGAGATGGGGTAGCAAATAGGAAGTCATGAGTGTGAGAGAATCGTGGAGGGAGGGAGTCTCACAGCATCAATCCATGATCCCAACAGAAATCCAATGTTAAACTGGAGAGCAGAGATTTGCAACCATACAGAACTAGATTCACACCTGGGCTATGCCTCTGTGAGCCATAAAGGGCAAAGGAATTCAGATGAAATCCTGGGGGGAGGGGAGACTCTGGACTAAGGAGTATATACCTCTGACCCTAGCAAAACTGGCGAGGTAGGATTATGATTTGGGGGCCAGGCTGAGCTATGTGGTAAGACTCCCATCTCAAACAAATACAGTTTCCTCTTGGAAGGGATCTCTCTTTTGTGCTCTATCTCTTTGTCTCACACACACACACACACACACACACACACACACACACACATACATGCTTTTGTTTTTTGTAGGTTTTTTGTTTTTGTTTTTGTTTTTAAAGACAGGGTTTCTCTGTCTAGCTTTGGAGCCTATCCTGGCACTCACTCTGGAGACCAGGCTGGCCTCAAACTCACAGAGATCCGCCTGCCTCTGCCTCCTGAGTGCTGGGATTAAAGGCATGCGCCACCAATACCCGGCTGCTAGAAAGCTTTTATTATCAATTGGACACAATCTAGAGTCACCTGGGTCTAGGGGACCTCAGTTGAGCAACTGTCCACATTATATTGGTCTGTGATTACATCTATGAGAAATCATCTTAATTGATGATTGATGTGCGAGGGCCTAGCCCACTATGGGAAGCATCATCCCTAGTTAGGTGGCCGGGATGGGCTATATAAGAGTTAGATGAGGGGCTGGAGAGATGGCTCAGCAGTTAAAAGTACTGACTGCTCTTCCAGAGGACCCAGGTTCAATTCCCAGCACCCACATGGCAGCTCACAGCTGTCTGTAACTCCTGTTCCAGGGGATCTGATGCTTAAATATAGACATACCTGCAGGCAAACACCAATGTACATAAAGTAAAAAATACATTATTTAAAAAAAAAGAAAGTTAGATAAGCAAGTCAGAGAACTAGCCAGTAAGTAGCCTTACCTCCATGCTTTCTGCTTCAGTTCCTCCTTCAATTTATGCTCTGCCTTCTCTCAACAATGAATTGTGACTAGAAATGTAAGCTTGAAATAAACTTTCCTGCCCAAGTCACTTTTTTTTTTTTTTTTTGGTTTTTTCAAGGCAGGGTTTCTCTGTGTAGTTTTGGAGTCTATCCTGGCACTCTCTCTGTAGACCAGGCTGGCCTCGAACTCACAGAGATCCACCTGCCTCTGCCTCCCGAGTGCTGGGATTAAAGGCGTGTGTCACCAACACCCGGCCCCAAGTCACTTTTGGTCATGGTATATCTCACAGCAACAGAAAAGCAAAGTAGAGCATGTAGGGTCCAGGAATTGAACTCAGGTCTCCAGCTTTGCAGGGCAAAAACTATGTTCTGGGCCATTCTGTTGGCTCCTTTTATATTTGTTTTAGAGCAGGGTCTTACACCCTAGCCCCGGCTGGCCTCAAGTGCACAGCAATCCTCCTGCATCAGTCCCCAGAGTGTTAGGATTATAGACATGCACAACCACGTCCAGCTCCATGAACTCTCTTTTCTCAGGTATCTACTGTATGTCCCAGGTTCTGAGTGCAAGAACTCACCGGAGCCTGGTCAGGCTCACTTGCTGTGATCACGTCAGGCCTTCTACCTCCCCCCTCTCTCCACAGCCCTTCCTCATGCTCCAGAGCTACATCTGAAGCAGGTTGGCAGCACCTGGGCACAGGTGGAGTGGATCCCTGAGACTCCTTGGCTCGGGATGATACCCCTCACCCACTACACCGTCTTCTGGACTGATGATCAGAACCAGACTTTTTGTGAGTCTACCCTCAGCTCCCCTCAAGCCCAGGAGGCCTAGAAGAAGTGTTGTAGCAGATACAGAGATGTTTAGCAGCCCAGACTGACCATATGCTCCACCCACAGCTATCATCCTGAACATCTCCTTCCATGGCTACGTCCTGGACCACCTGGAACCTGCCCGTTTGTATCATGTCTACCTCATGGCCACCAGCAGGGCAGGGTCTTCCAACAGTACAGGCCTAACCCTGATGACCTTGGCCCTGGGTAAGGAGGAAGGCTGGCAATGATGACTGTTGGGAGGGCGCCCCACTTTGCCTCTCAAGAAACACTGATTTTGCCAGGTGTGGTGGTACACATCTTTCATCTCAACACCGACACAGAGGCAGATGGAGCTCTGTGAGTCTGAGGCCATTCTGATCTACATAGAGAATTTCAGGCCAACCAGGGCTACACAGTGAGAACTTTTTTCAAAAAAAAAAAAATCTTTAAAGAAATTCTGATTTTAAAGGGAGGGGAGGAGATTATTATGTAAGTGTGTTTTCATTTTTTTTAAGTTTAAAAAGGGAAAAAAAGTGCAGGGTGGTGGTAGTGCACACCTTTGATTCTAGAACTCAGGAGGCAGAGGCAGGCAGATCTCTGAGTTTGGGGCCAGGCTAGTCTGATCTCAAAGTAAATTCTGGGACAACCAGAGCTACACAGAAAAATCCTGTCTAAAAGAGAGAGAGAGAGAGAGAGAGAGAGAGAGAGAGAGAGAGAGAGAGAGAGAGAATCTTCCTTTTGATAGCAATAGGAGCTGCCTTCGGATCTGCCGGTCTGAAGGAGAGACCAGGGCCCATCTGAAGGTGACCAGCAGTCCCATCAATCTTACATGAACTCCTGCCCAGGATGTCTTTAACTTTTCCACTTTTTTTTTAAAGATTTTATTTATTTATTATATATACAACATTCTGCTTCCATGTATGTCTGCACACCAGGATAGGGCACCAGATCTCATAAGGGATGGTTGTGAGCCACCATGTGGTTGCTGGGAATTGAACTCAGGACCTCTGGAAGAACAACAGTCAGTGCTCTTAACCTCTGAGCCATCTCTCCAGCCCCCTAACTTTTCCACTTTTAACCCCCTTTTCACGCAAGAAATTTTTACATAATTCTGAGTATATACACATGTAAAAACATATCCAGATCAAACACTTACTGATAATAAACAATTCATTTATTTTGAAGCAATTCTTTGGTATGCATACAAATTTTCATTTATTCAAGACTGAAGTAAACCTGCATATTAATGAGATGGCTGTGCTTGCTTCTCTTACACAGATAATTAAATGTTGGATGGATGTTTGATACTTCAGGGGCCAAGAGCATCTTCGCCTACCTTCCGCATTTTTCAGAGTTAATCAATATTTTGATTTTTACCATCATCAATGCTAAGAACAACACATTGCATGAATACATAGTACCCAGTGGCAGATGTATACTTAGAGTCATTTCAGAAATTGTTGGAAATTCTGGCCTTGTCCCAAGCCAGAATTCATCCAACATTTTTTTCTTTTTTCTTTTTTCTTTTGTGAAATTCAAGTCAGCAACTCAAACAGCAGTTCTTGAAATTAATCATCTTAATATGATACAATCCAAAGATACACTGATTTCATGCCCGCATGCTGAGGCTTGGTGGCAGGAAAGCACTGAAAGTCTTGTTTCCAGAATTAAACCATTATGTTCCCGTAATACAGTACATACAGTAAACACACTGAGATCATGAGGTTCAAAGCATACGATAGTCTTGAGTCTGAGCCTGACATGTTTCAGGCAGTTTTTGGTGATATTATTGTGTGATGTGATAACATGTATGTTGCCAAGTACACACATGTGATTAGAACCAAGGCTGCAGTGAACTTGCATGATGCAACACAGGTGAGTGCTGCCAGACACACGTTAGATTCATTATATGGTTGGGCTTTTGGTTTTGGTGTTTTATTTATTTATTTATTTATTGTTTTTCAAGACAGGGTTTCTCTGTGTTGCTCTGGCTGCTCTGGAACTCACTCTGTAGACCAGGCTGGCCTTGAACTCACGGAGTGTGGGATTCAATGTATGCACCACCACTGCCCAGCTAACACTAAGCTCTTCCTGCTTTCTCTCACCCCAGAGACATCTGAGCTACATGTTTTCCTGGGCCTACTTGTCTTCCTGATTTCATTTGTCAGCTTCTGTGGGACTGTCTGGTTCTGCTGCAAGAATAGGTGAGAGTTTCCCAGACTTCATGTTACCCCTGGGTGGGAAAGTCCCTCCCTGTCTCCCCTGACTTCCAGGTCCCAGTCTGGGAGTCTGTCCTTCCACCTCCTCCCCTCTTCAGCTGTGAGAGAAGGGCAAAGGGTGGCAAGCTAAGAGGGCACACCCGACCCAGAGTTCACTTGCTCCCTTTTCTAGCAGGACGAAATTCTTCTGGCCAAATGTGCCAGATCCAGCTCACAGCAGCCTGAGCTCCTGGGTGCCCACCATCATGACAGAGGTAATCACGAGGCAGAAAGGAGAAAGGGATTTATACTGTGACTGGCAGACAAGGCACAGCCACTAAAGGGATGCCCTTCTGAGTGAGGAACACACGCTTGAGTCTCACTTTCAACCAGACACACACACACACACACACACACACACACACACACACAACACAACACACTCTGCTTTGAAGAGATGCAGGCCTGAGTTTCACTCTCAAAGCTTCATCACACAATGGATGCACGGGTGCTGCAGCTGGGGTGGGAGGTGCTGCAGCAGGGGTGGGGGGTCTTTTGTGACAGATACATGTTAGGAATATTTAGGTGCACTAGGCAAGTATATCCCTTTGTGCTCTGCCACACAGCAGCAAGAGAGATCACACAATGGCCTCATCTCAGGAAGGTACAATGGGTAGGGCAGACATTTGAGATAAGCCATGCCTCATTTTCTATCCCTGTGTTCAGGAAACCTTCCAGCTGCCCAGCCTCTGGGACTCCAGCATGCCACCAATCACCAAGATCACTGTACTGGAGGAAGAAAAGAAGCTGACCAATTGGGATTCCGGTGACAACTCTCTGACTAGCAGCCTTCCCACCCTGGTTCAGGCCTACGTGCTCCAAGGAGACCCAAGAGCAACTTCCAACCAGTTCCAGCCTTCCTCTGGCACTAGTGACCAGGTCCTTTATGGTCAGGTGCTGGGGAGTCCCACTAGCCCAGGAGTAATGCGGTACCTTCGCTGCGATTCCACTCAACCCCTTTTGGGGGGCCTCACACCCAGCCCTAAGTCCTATGAAAACATTTGGTTCCATCCAAGACCCCAGGAGACCTTTGTGTCCCAACCCCCAAATCAGGAAGATGATGACTGTGTCTTTGGTCCACCAATTGATTTCCCCCTCTTTCAGGGGCTCCAGGTACATGGAGTTGAAGAACAAGAGGGCTTCTAGGACTTTTGGGGTCATTGAATCTTGAAGGCCCTGGCCAGTTCAGAGGAGAAGAGCCCTCCACTGAAATCTACTGGCCCTAAGAGAAGCAGAAAGGTCCAGTCTGCTCCATCCCTGGCCACTAACACCCTCCTTCCCCACAGCCTCCACAGACTGCACCCCCAGGACACCCTCATACTCTAAGCTCCAGACAGATACTGCTTCCAGCCCACCACTCGCCTTTTGTGTTTCCCATTATTTCAGTCTGTTAAGCTGATTTTGGATTTTGAGTTGGAGCTGGTATTTTCAGAAATTCTTGCCAGACATGGTGATACATGCCCATCACCCCAACACGGGAGGAAGAAGCAGGAAGATTGCAAGCTCCAGTCCAGCCTGGGCTACATAAGGAGATCCTATCTCAAAAATTAAGCAAAAGCTAAATAAATAATAAACTTTCTCCAATGTTTACTTATTTTGCTGAGATAGGGGCTCTCACACAGAGGTCAGAAGACAACCTTTGGGAGTTGGTTCTGCCCTTCCAGAATGTAGATCCTGGGAACTGGGCCCAAGGCTTAGTGGCAAGCACCTTTTCCCATGGAGCCACCTCACTGGTCCCAGAAAAGAATCCCTTGAACATGGCTGGGTGTCTTTTACTTTTCAGGGCCCAGCAATCAGGAAGAATTTTCTCAGAATCATTCATCTATTCCTTCCTCCCTTCCTTCTTTCCTTCCTTCTCTCTTTCCTTCTTTCCTTCCTTCCATTCTTCCTTCCTTCCTTCCTTATACCAGCTCCTACCTAGCATCTAAGTTGTGTGCCAGCATCAGAAATTCAAAAAAGACAGCTCAGTCCCACATAGAGAGCTCCCATACTGACAGTGGAAACTTGAAACTGGTTATCAGGAAACAGGCAAGACTTACTTGAGAGGAGTTGGAGTGCTGGAGAACACAGTGAAGAGACCAGGGATGAGACTAGCCCTGTTGGAACCCATAACTCCAACACTTGGGGGACCAAAATAGGAAGTCTGTATGTTTGAGGCCAAGCTGTGATACACAGCAAGTCAAAGCCCCCTCCCCCTCTCTCCCTCCCTCCCTCCCTGTCTCTCCTGTGTGTGTGTCTGTAGTGGGGTGGCCGGAGAGATAGCTTTAGCAGTTAAGAGCACTGGCTTCTCTTCCAGAGGACCCACCCAGGTTCTCAGTTCTCAGCTCCCATACAATTATCTGTAATTCCTGCTCTGCGAGAGCCAGTGCCCTCTTCTGGCTTCCATAGCAGCAGACACGCAAGTGATGCACAGATGTACATACCGGCAATACACTCATAGGCATAAAGTAAAATAAAGTCTTACTGAGGAAATACAACCACAACATCATCTCAGGTCTGAGGATGCAGCTCAGAGGTAAAACATTTGCCTAGTATGTATGAGTCTCAGGGTTTGAACCTCAGCATAGGTAGGAAAAAAATCACTTGCCTACCCAGAAACCCTTTCCCTAAGGAGAAAAGAATGAGAAAGGGGCATCATTATTTAATAAATATTAAGCCAGAATGTGACTTTCATGGCAGGCTATCACTAGAGAGGTTAATTACAAAGACAAGCTTTACCTTTTTTTTGAAAGACTTGACTTACTTATTTTTATTTTATGTGCATGAGCATTTGCCTGTATAGAGGTCTGTGCATCACAGTATACAGTGTCCACAGAGGCCAGTAAAAGCCAGTTGGTTCCCTGAAACTGTTGTTGCAGGTAGTTGAGAGCCACCACTCTGAGCCTTCTATGCAACCCTATTTTTAATTTAGTTTAGTTTTGGTGGTGGTGGTGGTGGTTTTTTTTTGTTTGTTTGTTTGTTTTGTTTTGTTTTTGTTTTTTGGTGTTTGGTTTCAGGGTTTTTTTTTCCCTTTGAGGAAGCTCCAGTACTGATATCTGTGGTAATTGCATGTAGACATTCCCAAAAAACAATGAATAAGAATTTCTTTTTGGGCTAGAGAGATGGCTCAACAGTTAAGAGCACTGACTATTCTTCCAGAGGTCCTGAGTTCAATTCCCAGCAACCACATGGTGGCTCACAACCACTTTGAATGAGATCTGGTGCCCTTGCTGGCATGCAGGCAGAAGATTCATTATAAAAAAATTTTTAAAAAGAATTTCTTTTTCAGCCAAGCATGGTAGCACTTTTAATCCCAGCACTTGGGAGGCAGAAGCAGGAGGATCTCTGTGAATTCAAGGCCAGCCTGGTCTACAGAGAGAATTCCAGGACAGCCAGGGCTACACAGAGAAACCCTGTCTTGAAAAACAAACAAACAAACGTCTCCACATCCTCACCAGCATTTGCTGTCACTTACATTCTTGGTTGTAATAGGAGTCTAGTAGAATCATTGTATCTAGAGTAAACATTAGAATGCAATGGTTGTTTCTTGCTGTATCTAGGATAACATTAGAATGTATTAATGTTTGTTGGAGGTACTTAGACCTTGAAGAAATCATTGTAGAGAACAGTGATTGTTTTCTATGATTTATAGAGTTGTTTTTCTGAGGGAATTTTACATTCTTTACATGACTTTATTCACAACACTATCCTGGCAGACCTGGAGGGTCTCATGTTGAGTACCACAAAGAGTATACAATAAGGACTGATGTTGTGGGGGTGTGATATTTTCCTTCAGAAAACGTATAGAATAGATCAGAGAGGGCTTTGAGGAAATTGTTTTCCAAAAACAACAACAACAAAAAGCCTTTTGGGTAACAATCAATAAATATGCTTTTGCAGGCTGTTCAATGTTCAGTTCATCAAAGTTGGACATCCCTGCTGCCACAGGTCTAAATTCATCTTGGAGTGACCTTCTTTCTTTGATTGTCTGGTGCAACACAAAACACTGACATTTAGTGATGGAGTCATTCTCTCTTGGGGTGAGATGGCTTTCAAATGCACCTTTTTTTTTGTTTGTTTGCTTGGTTTTGTTTTACAGGATAGGGTTTCTCTGTGTAGCAGCTCTGACTGTCCTGGAACTTGCTTTGTAGACCAGATTGGTCTCAAACTCACAGAGATCTGCCTGCCTCTATCTTCTGAGTGCTGGGTTTAAAGGTGTGCACCACCACCACCTCGATATCAGTGCACTTTTAATTTGCATTTCCAGGTGTGTTGAATATTTTTTCAAATACCTATTGACAATTTTTATTTCTTCTTTTGAGGTCTGACCAACTCATTTGCCCATGTATCAACACATGATTTGATATGGGGAATGTAATTACTAGAGTTCTTTGTATAATATATATAATTCCATTAGATGACTAACTGGCCAAATTTTCTCTCCTTCTGTAAATTCACACACATGTAGACACCAAAGGTTGAACTCTACTTTCCATGATTATTGCTTTGTTTTGCATTGTTTTTGAGACAGGATCTCACTAATTCTGGCTGGACTGAAACTTGCTTTGTAAACCAGATTGGCCTCAAACTCACAGAAATCCACCTGTCCTAAGTGATGGAACTAAAGGCGTGAACCACCATGCCCATCAGCTTACTTTTTCTAAAAAAGACTTTATTTATTATGTAAACAACATTCTGCTTCCTCTTCTACACACCAGAAGAGGGCACCAGATCTCTTAACGGATGGTTGTGAGCCACCATGTGGTTGCTGGGAATTGAACTCAGGACCTCTGGAAGAGCAGTCAGTTCTCTTATCCTCTGAGCCATCTCTCCAGCCCCAGCTTGCTTTTTTTTTTTCTTTTCTTTTCTTTTCTCTCTCTCTCTTTTTAAGATTTACTTATTTTACACGTGTGAATGTTTTGACTACATGTATGCTCCACATACTTGCATGCCTGGTGCCTTAAGAGGTGGAGTGGGAGGTACAGAAGGCTGTGGACTGCTGTGTGTGTGCTAGGAACCAAACCTAGGTCCTCCTCTGCAACAGCAACTCAAGGAGACCCCACACTCAGCAGAGGCTCCCTCCTGGACTCTGGATTAGGCACAAACCACACTGAAACACCTAACTTCACAGAGAGATCCTTTATTCAGCAGGGAAGAAAAGTTAAAGTGGCTGCTTTCTGACTGAGGCAGAAAACAGCAGCAAATGACCTTGCAGATGTAATTTTTTTTTTTATTGGTTTTTCGAGACAGGGTTTCTCTGTGTGGCTTTGGAGGCTGTCCTGGCACTTGCTCTGTAGCCCAGGCTGGCCTCGAACTCAGAGAGATCCGCCTGCCTCTGCCTCCCGAGTGCTTGGGATTAAAGGCGTGCGCCACCAACCATGTCTTTGTACAATGGCCTCGGTTTATAGGCTGAACAACCTAAAAGATACATTACCCTCCCCATCTGATGTTTGAGAACACTGTAGCCCAGAAAGGATCTCATAGTAACCGCTCAGCACCCTTCCGGATCTCCAGCCTTAGTCCCTAGGCTACAAAGCCGCCCAAAGAAGGCTGGAACCTGGGGGCTTTTACAGGGCCCCTGACTCGGGGGTGGGAGACTGGAAAGAAAAGTAACCTCTGGGGAGATAGTATGGCCAGTCTCACAAAAGCCCCCCCCCAAAAAAAAAACCTCAACCTTCCTAATGCTGCGACCCTTTAATATAGTTCCTCATGTGTGGCGGTGTGGTGATCCTAACCATGAAATTATTTTCATTGTAATTTTGCTACTGTTATGAACCGTAATGTAAATATCGAATATGCAGGATATCTGATTTGCGACCCCTGCGAAATGGTCGTTCGACATCCATCCCCCACCATGGGTTGCAACTCATAGGATAATGAGAACCACTGACCTAAGGTCAGGAACGTAAGAAGTGATTAAGACCGGTGCAAGGTCATTAAGTGGCATTTTAGAGGTTACACAGAGCGCTACACCAGTAGCCGTAGAGCCAGGCCATCCACCCGCCAAACCCACGAGCTCCACCCCAATCCATTCGTTCAGCCCTCGGCTGCGTTTGTCGAGCGCTGGCCTCGATTGGTCGAGCCTGAACTGTCATGGCTGCGCCCTTGTAACTCGGCGCCACCGCAGAGGGGACAGTGGCGGTGCGGGCCCGCGGGGCCGGGAATCGTCATGCTGCGGGCTACGTGGCGCGCTCTGAGCTCCCTTCGTGCCCAGGCAGCGGCACAGTCTCCAGGGTCTGCGCTGCGGAGCGGAGGAAGCGCCAGTCTGCCCTCGGCACGCTGCGGCCTGCAGCCTCCGAGTGAGCCGCGCAGCAGGGGGCAGGGGGGCTGGGCGAAGATGAAGGATACCAGGCGTCCGGAGCCCGGAGAAAGGCAGTGGCAGGAGGAGAGACAACGGGTGGTGGCTAGGAAAGGAAGGACCAAGTGGGCGAGAGGGAAATAGGGCGCTGGTTAGGTGCAGGCGCCCGCAGTCCGTGATGGAAGGAAATGAGTCTCAGCTCTTTCTGTTCTGCATAGGTCTCCTGCATGCCGCCCGTGCCTACGCCGTTGGGAAACCAGGTAGGAGGACTTGGGCTGACACTTGATGCAGAAGAGACACCACCCGGAAAGCCTAGGGTGGACAAGGGGGCAGGGGTGGATGCGGAAAGGGGCGGGCCAGAAGTCCCGCTACATCGGCATTATGTAGGGCCCAAAGCCAGAAGTCTTTGTTTAGGAGGTGCATGAGGAGGCAGCAGTAAGAGCTTTCAAATGGGATATTAGTGGAAAAGAGTGAGTTCTTAACGCCAGACCTTCCTAGAGTTTACATAATGCTTTTCTATCTGCCATTCTGACTTGAAGAGTGTCGTTTCTCATCCCAAGTTGGTATGCCTTGGGTCCCTCTAACGAACAGATGTTTACTTTGTGTGAACCAGAGCTGACATGAGTGTCAGAGGATCCATTGGAACACATTGTTATTAGGATTCAATCACGATAACGTATGAGAAACACCCCTAGTCCTGTGCTCAGTAAATTATAAGGTGTAATAGTATTTATCGCTGCTAGTGTCCACCTGTTCCAGTCTGAAATCTGATAACTGTAGAACCAAGTGGATTTGTGAGAAGTTCAGGCACGGTACGTCTTGGGAAGAGTCGTCTGTTTACAACATGAAATATGAAAGCAGGTGCCCACAAGGCTTGCAGAAGGGGAACTGGGCTTAGATAAGTTGGTTGCCTCATTGAGACCCTAGGCATTTCTCACAGATTTGGGGAGTAAGAAGAATGGAGCCTGGGAGAAAGAGTTAACTCTGTTTCACATCCCGTTCCTGTATTTGACAGCCCAGCACAGCCAAGATGATGAGCCACCCCCTTCTACACTCATCAAAGAATACAAGAGCATCATCCCCAGCATGGAGAAGTAAGCGGGGGAAAAAACCTGCTCGAGGACACAGATGTCCTGGGAGGATGGGCAGGGAGTGCGAAAGGGTGACTGAAAGCCTTGGACTGTTGTATTTGAAGTTTGATTGTGTGGAGCCCTGGGTGCGGTGAGCACTGGGAAGGACCCCAGGTGTGGTGGACTCCGGTGGGCAGCTGGTGCTCCTGAAACTCAGCTGGCCTTCTCTTCCTGGCACCAATAGATGCCAAAGAACTAACACACTCTAGAAGTCTTGGTAGAAATCTCTCTTCTCTTGACCTCACAAAAGCCCTGCGAGAGAAGAAATTGTGTCCTGTGTTACACATCTAAGAGACAGCTAGGACATGGATCCCAAGGTGACAGACACTGAAGCCCAGATCCTTCTCACCCCCTGTCCAGTGGGAACTGGACTGGCTCTCGTCTTGCCTACTCTGCAGTCTGGCTGTGTCCAGCTGAGGTGGAAGTCCTCCCTTTGCCACAACACTCAAGCCAACAGCCCCAATTGTCTGGTGCTGTCTTCAACCCAACAAACCAGAGCCTTTGTTACCTTTGTTACCTTTGAATCCCTAAGAAATAGCTACCCACTTCTGGAGAGTTGCATTTCTTGTAGAAGTAACTGTCATTTGTTCTTACTTTTTAAATCTTCTTAACAATTTATTTTTATTCATGTGTATGTTTGCCAGTGTGTGTATATGTGCCCGTATGTGTGAGTGTCCACAGGGGCCAGAAGGCGGCAGTGAATTTCTTGGAGTTGGAATCACAGGAAGTTGTGAGCCAGCTGATTGTGGTGCTGGGAAAGAAACTGGCCCTTTACAAGAGCAAGTGCTCTTAACCCCTGAACCATCTTTCCAGTCTCTACTTTTATTTTATTAAATTTTATTTTATTTATTTAAATTTATGGCTAGCAGTTGGACTAGCTAGATGGCTCAGTAGTCCAGAGTGTTGCTGTTCATCCAGAAGACAGTAGTTTTGTTCCCAACACCATACCCAACAGTTCAAAATCATCTATAATTCACAGCTCCAGGGGTTACACCTCCTCTTCTGGCCTCCACAGGCAGCTGCACACATACAAGTACATAAATTTTTAAAGAAAAAAGCCTTTCTTCCCCTTCCCAGTGTTTGTCTCATTGCTCCATTTCTTCCCCAGGGTTGATGATGTTGTGAAAAGAATCTTGTCTTTGGAAATGGCCGACCAGGTGAGTGCCTGTGCCGCCCTAAGTCTTGGCCTCCCTCAGTCTTCTCTCTGGAAACTCCTTCCATCCCTACACCCCAGGCCTCCCTAGTTAGAACGTTTCTCCCACTGTCAGGCTCTATCCAAAGTAAGAGAGAGAGTTTTGGTCCTCCATTGTCCCTCTGACATCTGATAAACAGTAGGTACAGAGTAAAGCAGTCCTCTTAGTCACTGTTTTGTTTTTGTTTTTGCTATGAAGAGACACTGTGACCAAGGCAACTCTTATAAAAGAAAGCATTTATAATCTGGGGCTTGCTTGCAGTTTCAGAGGTTTAGTCCATTGTTGTCCCTGAAGGAAGCATGGCAACGTGCATGTAAACACTGGAGCAGTAGCTGAGAACTAACTACAACCTAATCCATAGGCAGAGAGATACTGGGACTAGATTGGTTTTTGAAAGTCTAACGCCCACTCCCAGTGACACACTTACTCCAGAAGCACCACTCCCCTAAATATATGAACCTGTGGGGCCATTCTTATTCAAACCACCACAGATTTGTACCTGAATAGGCAAGATTTAAGGACATTAAGCCAACAAACTATTTCTCTTATCTCTGTTTTTGCCTTGGGCTCATGAGGATATGAGTAGCCGTGTGGTTGGCCAAGGCCACAGTGAATACAGTAAACTTTGGCCCCAGTTTTTCTGGCCCTAGCAGCCATAACTGCAGCCTTCCAGTCAGGAAGGCTAGTCCTTAGAGGATCATAAGCCACACAGATTTCTCCAATTTCTGTCTTCAACAGAAAGAGAAGTTAAAAATCAAGCAAGAACAATTGATGAGCAAGATTGCGGAAAACCCTGAGGATTCCAGAACCTTGGAGGCTCGAGGTTGGTCCAGGGGCCCTTGGAAGTGGGGGTACAGAGGAGTCTGCTAGCTGGTACCTGGTCTAGGGCTTTTGATGTGGCTTGGGAAGGGGGAGACATAGGTACTGGAACTCCAGATCTTAAATTCAGTGAATGCTGCATCCTGCCCATTTCACTGTGTGATGTCACACAGTTCACCTACCTTCTTTAGGGTCCCTGCTTCCTGTTATGATACGAAACGCAGAGGTAGGACCTCGGATCCATGGTGGGGGACACACATGCCATCAGGCAGAATTTACATAGGAAGGAAGTTTATTGGGAAAGAGAGGGAAGAAGGGGAGAAGAGACAGAGACAGTGGCCTGCCTCCTCAGAGAAACAGCAGAAAGAAGAGAGCAGGAGTAGGCGGGGCTTGTCTCGGGTGACTACCAGGTCCCAAGGGGTGGGGCCAGGTGTGCCTGGATGCTAAAGCTTCCTACACTGAAGATGGAGCTAGCTGGGGACAGGGCAGAAGACTGTGTCCTAACTTTGTGGCAAGACTGAGAATCTAGAGAATAAAAGCACACCATGGAAACAAAAGATTAGGCTAGTAACAGTGAGATTCACATCTGTGGAATGCTGTTAGACCCATTGGCATGGAACATTTCCACATTCCTGTTTTAGTTTCCAGTTGGAATTGGCATTAGCCCTCGTTAGATGTGAGTGAAAGCCTGCCTCTTGCTTTGAACCAAAGAGCAGCAGTGGGCTGGATTGGCCCTATGCAGTGTCTGCATGTTTTCTTCTCCATTGCCATTGGACTACATTACAGCTTTTATTACCACCTCCCTCTTCATGCCTCATTCACTTTGTAAAAATTTTGTTAATGTGTATGGATGTTTGCCTGCATGTATATCTGTACTATGTGCATGCCCAGTGTCATTGGAAATCAGAAAAGGGCCGCAGATCCCCTGGAACTGGAGTTACAGAAGGTTGTGAGCCACCATGTGCTAGGAACCAAACTTGGGTCCTCTGGAATAGCAGCTCTTGTTGGCCCTGTGCCATCTCTCTAGTCCTATAAGTGAGAAATTTTAGTTCTAAAAACTTAATAATGGCCAGGCGGTGGTGGCGCACGCCTTTAATCCCAGCACTCAGGAGGCAGAGGCAGTTGGATCTCTGTGAGTTCAAGCCCAGCCTGGTCTACAGGAGCCAGTTCCAGGACAGCCTCCAAAGCCACAGAGAAACCCTATCTCGAAAAACCAAAAAAATAAAATAAAAAAATAAAAATAAAAACTTAATAATGAAAGCACAGAAAAAGAGTAGATTTTAAATTTATTCTTTATTTATTATTGTTTGTGTGAGTATGTGATGTGTTAGGGCATGTACATGTGTGCCACACAAGGAACTTGTGTGGGGATCAGAGGACACTATTCAGAAGTCCATTCCTTCTTCCACCATGGGTTCCAGGGAGTGAACTCGGGGTGTCAGCTTTGTGCCACAAGCACCTTTACCCACTCAGCCACCTTCTGGGCCCTCTTGACAGGTTTAGAATCTTAGCTTAATGCATTGGCTGGGACCTCTAGTACAATAGTGAATCATTGACCAAGGTGCTCTGCTAGAATTAATTCCTGAATTTAATGTTCTTGCAAGTACATTCAAACTGTGGTCTTTAGGCTGCGTGTGTCCCAGGTAGCTGTGAACGAAGCCCAACTCAACACAAAATCGTAAGCTTGGTTAAAACATTGATGGGTTTTTGGTTTTGTTGTTGTTTTTACGTCTCTTTCCTTTTAGACCAGTAGTTCTCCACCTTTCTAATGTTGCAACTCTATTACAGTTCTTCATGTTGTAGTTGTTACTTCATAACTAATTTTGCTACTGATATGATCGTAATGTAAATGTATGCAGGATATAATTATCTGGTATGCAGGATATTTGATGTGTCCCCCAGAGGGGTTGAGACCCACAGGTTGAAAACTACTGTTTTAGACATTGTCTTACCATATAGCCCCAGATGGCCTGAAACTTGTGATGTCAGCAGCTCAGAGAGATCCACCTGCCTGTGCCTTCATTATTTTTGTGACTGAATTGCATTGTTCTCAGGCATGAGGTTTGTACATGAAAACACTATATCACAGGACTAAAATTTTGCTGTTGAGAGTGCTGTTTGCCAGCCAGTCAGAGTGGCATACCCATAATTCCAGGTAATGTAGGCAGAGAGAGGAATTACAAATTCAGTCTGGGCTACACAGCAAGTGTAAGTAAGGTCAGACTGAGCCTCATGGTGAGACTTGTCAACTACCTTCTCCCACTACCCCCCCACATACACAATACTGTTTGCTATGACCCATAATGACCTTTGCGAATTAAGTCATTTCTTTTTCTTGAGCTTGCTTTTCTTCTAGCTTTTCTAGTAGAAAGATAATCCAGTCTTTTGAGATCTTGCCATTCAGAGTGCTTTGGGATTTAGAAAGAGCTATGCAAAAGCACTGGTGGTTGTTACTCCTTTGGTTCCTAAAACAGGGGGTGGGCCTGGGCCCTTCCTTCCTCTGTGCCCAGCTCTCATCCTCTGTGGTTTGTGGTTTCAGTTGTTGCCTTGACTGTCAGGATCCGCAATTATGAAGAGCATATGCAGAAACACCGAAAGGTAAACCATGGGCTTTGCCCACAGCTAAACCACAATAGCCTAGGGGAGGGGAGTCTGGGATAAAGGGTTTTGGATCCTAAGAAGCCAAGGCTGACACCTCAACTCCAGTAGGAAGGAAAACACTCCCCTCCTGCCTCGAGGGGAACAAAAGGAGCCTTACAGGGCTCTGCTGAGAGTCATCAGTGGTCAAGAAAACAAACTATAAACTACGGTCACATTGGACAAGTAGTGGGTGCTTAATAAATATTTGTTGAATGCATGGATAGTCAGAGTGACCTGTTCAAATCCTAGCTCTGTCACCTCTACTTTAAGTCACTGTCACTTTGAGAAGTTTATTGGTCTGAGCCTATGTTCTCACATCTTTAAAGTAGTACTCCTGCCACAGGATTGCAAATATTACAAGAATTAATCCTAGTGGTTGGTATGGTGCATAGCACTTCTCTAGACTCTTAGCATCATCTCTCACAAAGTTTGGAACTGTTTCTTTCGAATCTTCCAGTGGAGCAGTCTCAACATAGAGTGACATTATTCCTCAAGAGCCACTGCTAGAAGTGATGCCAGACACTTGAAATGAGGCAGTCTTGCCCAGGGCCCCATTCCTAACCACTCATTGCTCAGCTGAGCAGCACAGAGCTGCCAGAAGTAGAAAATTGGCATTAGTTTTGGTCCCTGTGCTGTCCAGGCTAACTTTGATCTCTCCATCCTTTCACTTTAGCTACCTGAGAGCTAAATCATAGGGTATGTGCAGTCACACAACTAATAAGTATGAACACAGACTGGTCTAGCCTTGAGTACTTCCAGGAGCTGGTTGGAAATCCCAGTTTTGCTCATTTGAGGTGTAGAATCCCAGCTCCATCGTAGAGGCCCCTCGCAGAGTAGGATCCGGAACAGAGGATAAGGTTCTGTTTCTCACTAATCAAATTGACAACCTGCTAAGTGCTGGAGAAGCTGAATGGATGGTACAGGGGAGAATGTGAGATCTGGCGTCAGACCAGTAAGTAGACCTAGATTGAAGGCTTGACCTCAGAGTTCACAGTCTGAAGAGCTATTGAAAGTCAAAAAAGCTCAAACTTCTATTTTCCTGTCTGTGACTGTAAACATTGACAGTGCCTCTTGCTGAGCTATAATTATGTTTACATAAGATTGTTGGGTTGATCCAACGAAATGACCATAAATCATTAATGGTAAACAATGTTAATACTTAATAGAATACTAAAAATAAGAGAATTAAGTATGATAGCTTAGGCCTGGCATCCCAGCAAGCAGGAAGCTGAGGCAGGAAAATTGCCATGTGTTTGAGGCCAGCCTGGGCTGTCTCAAAACAACAAATAATAATAGTAATACAAACTCTTCTATAGGACAAAGCCCACAAACGCCATCTGCTGATGAGTATCGACCAGAGGAATAAGATGCTCAAACTCCTCCGTCAGACCAACTATGATGTCTTCGAAAGGACGTGCAAGGAGCTGGGGGTGGAATATGTCTTACCCCCTCTGCATTTCCATAAGGTCCACCGCCGTTTCCTGGCCAAGAAGGCTCTGTGCATTCGGGTATGAGTCAATATGGTCCGTTGCTTTGGTCAGTCTCCCTCGACTGAGGTGCAGAGTAGAAGGAAGAAGTTGTCTGTTTCTGACCATGGCTTAGAACTGGCCCAGGTCACCAGCACATGGAGAAAGAATAGGGTTGCACCAAGATAGTTCCTGTAGACCTGCTCCAAACCTGAGGTTTTGCAAAAATTACAAAGTCTTTTCCTACTCCCTTTCAACCACCAGGTTTTCCAGGAGGTACAAAAGCTGAAGAAGCAAAAAAGAGACTTAAAAGCTGCTGCAATGGCCGCCAAAAAACAAAATAAGCAGAGGGTGCCAGAGAACCCTTCCCAAGCCGTACCAGAGATGACCAAAGAAAACTAATAAAGTCTGTTCTGCCTTGAAGAATGATGGACAATGGCCTTCTTTTCAGCCTGAGAAAGAGGGATTTGTTCTCCATTTGGCCCTGGGCTCTCAGAGGCAGAGTTCCTCCATCACCCCTGAGGGTGCAGTCACAGAAACATGTCATGTGGTATGTTTCAGAGGCAATGCTGGCATGGAAGGAGGGCAGCTGTAGGAGCTGTTTACTGGACTGGGCCCTAAAAGATGAGGAGGATTTTATTGGGCAGAGACAAATGGCATCTAGGTAGAAGGAACTGTAAGTTAAAAGGGAAAGCAATCGAGAGGGATACATTCAGGGACAGTGGGATTTAGAGATTAAATACTGTTAACATTGGAGATGGGGCTTCAGCCTATGAATGGGGCTGGGGCGTAAAAACATTCAGTTCATACTGAAGAAAGAACAAACTTTGGACCTCATTCTGAGACAGGAAATACCACAAAGGATAATGTGTTAAAGTTCTATTACCAAAGAACAGTTGGAAGATCGGGGCTGAAGCTTGGACCGGAGCAGTTTGAGAGCTGTTAGGTAACAGAAGCCCTAGGTGTGTGGTTGCCTAGGGATATTGGGCTGTAGTATTTGAATGATTGTAATTCCAGCGCCTGCAAGAGGCAAGAATCATTCCAAGGTCACCCTTGATTGCATAGCTAGTTTGAGGCCAGTCTAGACTACATGAAACCATTTCTCCAAGAGTTTAAATTGCCCAGGGAAGTAATGTTTAAAAAAAAAAAAGTGGAGGGGGGGCATGTCAGGGTGGGGGAAATGATTCCTGGGAGCACAGGGTCCCCTTGAGATGAAGTGAGTGGTCAGTGGCCAAGGGAAACGATCTGAGTTCAAGGCCAGCGTGTGCCACCACCTGGCTGCTTTTTGTTTTTTAAGACAAGACAAGGTCCCAGTCCTGGCTGTCCTGGAACTTGCTGTGTAAACCAAGCTGGACCCTGCTTACAAAATTCTGGGATCAGAGGCATGTGTCACCAAGCCTGACTCCTAGATCTGTCATATATACTGTCTGACACTCCTAGAAGGAAAAGGCTGAGAGAAAGGGAATGTTTTGACAAACATTCAAATACTTTTGGGAGCTAGGCTGGTAACAAAATGCAGAGGCTCAGCCCAAGATAAAGATGTTTATTATGGGGGGCTGGAGAGATGGCTCAGTGGTTAAGAGCACTGACTGCTCTTCCAGAGGTCCTGGGTTCAATTCCCAGCACACACATGACAACTCACAGCTGTCTGTAACTCTAGTTCCAGGGAACCTGGCACCTTCACACAAACATACATGGAGGCAAAACACTAATGCACATGAAATAAAATAAATTTTTAAAAAAAGATGTTTATTATGACCAGGTGTTGGTGTTGCATGCCTTTAATCCCAGCACTCGGAAGGTAGAGGCAGGTGGATCTATGTGAGTTTGAGGCCAGCCTGTCTACAAAGTATGTTCCAGGACATGATCCAAAGCTACAGAGAAACCCTGACTCCAAAAAAAAGAAAAAAAGAAAAGAAATTACATGTAGCTGAAAGTTTTTATGCGTGCCACCCAGTCCTGCAGCTGATTATAATCACTCTGAGGCCTAATATTAATTATAATTGTTGTTTGGCCAATGGCTCGGACATATTACTGACTAGCTCTCACAACTAAATTAACCCATTAATCTATGTATTGCCATGTGGCCATGGCTTACCGGTAATGCTCTGGCACCCTACCCCTCCAGTGGCCAGTCTCCTTGACTCTGCCTTTCCTCTCTCCATATCTGTTTGGATTTCCCACCTGGCTCTATTCCGCCTGGCTATTGGCCAAATCAGTTTCTTTATTAACTAATGGTAATAAAACATTCACAACATACAGGAATGGCATCCCACATCAATTTTAGGTGGGACTGGGGTGTTAAAAAGCTCAAGTTGTACTAGACAATTTCAAAAAGCTTGACTGGTAAGAGGAGGGAAGGAAAACAACTCGGAAGTGTGACATGGAGGCAGGAAGCCACTAAAGGAATGTGCTGGGGGAGGGTTGTTGTTGGGGGCGGGTTGTTTTGTTTTTGGAGACAGGTTTATTTGTGTAGACTTGACTATCCTAGAACTAACTGTATAAACCAAGCTGGCCTCGAACTCACAGAGATCCACCTGCTTCTGCAAGCGCTGGGATTAAAGGCTTGCACCACCACCACCCGGCCTGGAATGCAGTTTTTACGTGGTGTCTTCTGAAATTTAGTTCAGCAGCCAGTGCAGCAGAGCAGTGATACGAAGGAACATGGGAATACAGAAAAGGACATTAAGGAATAAACGTGAGAAAAGATTGTGTGAGAAAAAGAATTTGGTGGCTGATTATTAATAGGACCCAAGGAGGTGAATGTGGGAGCCAAAGCTCAAGACTCAAGAGATTGCTGTGGGGGTGGGAGGCGCAGGAGGGGAATGCTTAGCAGAAACATTGAAATCTAAAGGAATCCCCTGAAAAGAACCCGCCGGATCTAATCCTGGAGCAGAAGGTGGAGAACCCCTTAGGCTTCTGCGGAGCCTACTAAGCCGTGGGGTGGGCCGGGCCGGGTTGCTTCACTGAGTAGGAAATCCGATGTGGCATCGCTTCCGCGAGGGCTTAGGAAGGAAATACAAATGATACAACTCATCGGACAGGTATAACTCGGGGTGCCCTCGTGGCGCTTGCCGTGATCTCACTGGCTCCTCTGGGCATCTCTGCCCGGGACAGCACAGCAGGCGACAGCGGTCCGAGACTCTAGGCCAGCCGGGCGGCTCCAGGACGCGCGGCTGACTGGAAGGTTCCGTGGAAAACTCAAAACCAGCGCTCCCCGGAGGCCAACGTCGAGCGCCACCGTTCGGACCAATCCCTCGGAGCGGTCTTTGTCACCTAGTCCAATGGGCCCCCGCTCCTAGGCCACCTCCCATCAAATCGCCCTCTGATTGGTTCGTCGTCCGGTCTGCGGCGTTGCCCCAGCAACCGGGCTATGGACGCGGAGGGGCCTCCAGCCTGCTAAAGCAAGCCGTGGGGCTCTTCCTTCACCTGCCCTGTGGGTTTCCTGCACCATGTCGGTGCGGACTTTGCCGCTGCTCTTTTTGAATTTGGGCGGGGAGATGCTTTACGTCCTGGACCAGCGACTGAGGGCTCAGAACATCCCGGGAGACAAGGCCCGCAAAGGTAAGAGGTCCCCGTAGCCTGCTCCGGCATCACCACGCTAA